TGTTGATTTTACTGATTCAACTGTTGCTCATTTTGTTGGTTTTGTAGGTTTTGTTGATTGTTGTCGTTGACGTTTGACATGATTTTTTGGCAGAAGAATGGATTTGGAAAGTGAAAAGATTATCAGATTTCCGATAACGGAACCAATTTGTTTAACAAAAAAATAGAAATTTCGGTAAAATCCTATTTTTAGAAGTACTCGGGTTACTGATAATAAAAAAAGAAATATTTTTGCGATAAAAAAGGAAAATTAGAATATGAAATAGCGAAGTAATCAGTATAAAGCAAAAGCAAATAATTGTGTTTCAGTAATAATCAGAAAGTGTCCATACAAATGACATTTCTATTCCTTATATAGTCATCTCTAAGTACAACGTCTTTTCCCCTTTATGATCAAGTCATTATGAGCATTAATGCCATTAATGAAACGTTATAATTGGTAATCGTAACTATTTTGTGGAGATTCTGTAATGTTTGTAATCATTCATGCTCATTAATTGAAGACCAATGAACCTGCCCTTTTTACTGTCTTAGTTCATTCCACCGGTGTCTCTTTAAATTACTAAAGAGACTCGAGCAACCGTTTATTCTCATCTCTTAGACGTTTTGCTCGTACCTATTAAGACTTTCATATTTTTAAGTACTCTTATCCAACTGTCACTTTTCTAATGTCTCACGTGTCTTGCCATGTCAGCCACATAATAATTCCACGTGTAATATTTATTTTCCCCAATACACATTTGCTAAATGATTTACAGATATCCTCCGTCCAACTATCATTCCAAACCTGCAACCGTAAAACTAGCTCTGCACCCTGATTTTATCTGAATGTTTACTACCTCCTGCCAGTACAAGCACCAAATAATTTTATCTACCAATGTTCATGCAAAATTGTGACATCCAAACATTTATTGTCATGTTGTAAACACAAACATTGATATGCAGGAGTGGCTCAGGGGTGAGGATAGTAAAACCTTTGTTTTAGGCCTCCTAAAATTTTGATGCCTCAAAAAGTATTAATGGTGGAATACATAATAATATTTTTGCTTAGACAACATTAAAGTTTGTAAAAAGGATGCAAAATATGTATAAATAATTAAAGAAACAAAGAATGTTTACTTTTTAACATTAGAATATTTTAGAACATTGAATTAAACTAATAAAAACTCCATATTAGTAAATGAATTTTTTTACAACAAGATCCATAGTAATGTATTACAAATACATGACTAATTATATCTTATTAACTTGAACTAATCCTTGCTAATATAAATAATAATATGTGAAATTAAAAGTTTTATATCTTGTAAGAATGGAAAGACAACATTAAATTTTATGCATGTGTGTGTATAACTATATAAAATTTGAATGTTTATTAAAATGTAGCTTTAGATGAGCTGCCCTTAATATTCAGTTACATTTATGACTGAACAGGTGAAAACTGTGTCTCTATTTTAGGTTACGAAGAATCTTAAAAGAATAACATACATGTTTCAAGAATTAGACACAACATTTATACTGTACAAGAAGAGGACTCGAGGTTACAACATAAAGCTAGTAATGTATTTAAAATTGTGGTCACTGTCGTAACCATATTCTTTGATATCACGCCGCACTGTTCGTCTTGGTCGCTTGCAGGGAAACACAGTGTGTTATTTTTATTGAGTGAATACCCTAAAACCTCCTAAACTATTACATTAGTGTCAGCTACCTGCTTAAACTATTCGGTGTCCCCAAAACCCTCTTTAACTATATCCCCTATACATTAAAAAATTCGAATGGCCTCAATTGACCGCGTCTAATGGTTAATTATTGTTACTCTCTTTAAAAAAATTCAATTGTTCTATTTTTCCTCTATTTTCTTTATATTCTAGCCTTCTTCTTCATTTTTTTTCTTTCTTCTTCCTTTCTCATTATGGGTTTCATTTGAAATTTTTCTGTTCGCTTGTTTCTTCTGAAATTATCTTTCTTTTTCATTTAGGTCTTCTTCTTTCAATATTATTTAGTACACCAAAAGCCTATAATTTTTATCAAACCCTAACTTTTTTTATCCCAAATCTCGTATTAAATTAAAATTTCCATTGAAATTGAAGGTTAATGGGTCCAATATTTAATCAAATTTCAGTGGCAAAAATCACGATTGAGACATGGTATAGCCATTATTGGAGGAGATGGAAGAGTTTATTTATTTATTTATTTATTTTTATTTTATAAATGACCATGTGTTTATCCATTTGTTTTTTATTATTAGTTAAAAATCTTAATTGAATTGATATTTAGATTAGGCTGTAAATAAAAGAGTGTATCACACACACCACTAAAAAATGATGAGAGATTTTTAATATATATGGGTATATAATTAAGGGGGTTTTAGGGACACCCAATAGTTTAAGTAGGTAACTGACAAATACGTAAAGTTTAGGGGGTTTTTAAGGTATTCACTCTTTTTTTATTTTGCTGTCTTTTCAGTCCTACTTGAGGTAATTAGATCCGTTATCTGCAGATGGTATGTCTATTTGCGAATAAACAATGTGAAAATTGGTGTGAAATATCTAATTGGGCTGATAAAAGCTCTCCAACAAGATATCACACTGATAATGATTCAAATATCTCTACAACTGCCTGTAAAAACTCAAGACTCAATAGAGTCCTTGAATGCACAAAGATGAGCAGATGAATGTCGAATTGGGATGCCAAAAGGAGAATAGGATGCAAATGGTGGATGAAGATACAATGAAGAAATCATATAAGCTTTTAAGGAATATAAAAATGATGCAGAGGAAGTTGACTCAAATGACATCTAGTGACATGTATAGTAGATGGTATAAAAAAAAATACTCATTTTGTACCATCTGTTGCTATTGTAGCTGGTGCGTTTTGGTCGGCAACCTCCCACATGCTATTTTGCCATAACATTAAGGCAGCGCACTAAGGAAGTCAAATGAATACTTGCTATGTGAGGCGAATGAAGACCCTGTCTAACTAAATAGCTTTGTGTTAGTTAGTATCTGTAGTTTTTAGTGAGTATTTTTGTAGTACTTAGAAAATTGAGTATGTGCTACTGCTTTTAGTTTATTGTGTTTACTAACTTGTTACCTTCAAGTTCATTTCAAAATTTTGTAGCTTGTTTCGGGCAATAAAATGACTGGTACCATCCTAGTCAAATTAGAAAAACTTTTTGATGAAGGTGCCATTATAAGGCGGACCGGGCCCAAGTCCCCTGGAAGGGGGCGCCAGAGAGGGTGAGAGCCCCGTTGTGCCCGGACCCTGTCGCACCACGAGGCGCTGTCTACGAGTCGGGTTGTTTGGGAATGCAGCCCAAATCGGGCGGTGAATTCCGTCCAAGGCTAAATACGGGCGAGAGACCGATAGCGAACAAGTACCGCGAGGGAAAGATGAAAAGGACTTTGAAAAGAGAGTCAAAGAGTGCTTGAAATTGTCGGGAGGGAAGCGGATGGGGGCCGGCGATGCGCCCCGGTCGGATGTGGAACGGTGNTACCGCGAAGGAAAGATGAAAAGGACTTTGAAAAGAGAGTCAAAGAGTGCTTGAAATTGTCGGGAGGGAAGCGGATGGGGGCCGGCGATGCGCCCCGATCGGATGTGGAACGGTGTTGAACCGGTCCGCCGATCGACTCGGGGCATGGACCAGCGTGGATTGGGTAGACTTTTGATTTGGGTGAAGTTACTTGTTGATTGATAGAGCTTAGCTTCTTAATTAGCTTATTCCTAAGACATTTCCTTTTCGGACTTCTTAAATTCTAACTATGTTTAGTTGAATGTTCTAAAGCATACATAGAACAATTTGTTGCTAAGTAGAATAATCCCCTGCTTCACACTTTACCCACAATTCAGTTTGCATTCCATAGTAAAAGTACTATTTTGGGGTTCAAGAAAAAATTTGAAACCTTTCACTTGGGGAATTTACTTTATCAGGCTCACGAGTATTTTTTAGTTTTTTTTTTTTTTTTTTTTTTTTCTTTCTATAGTGGAGATAGTCGCACGTAATGACAGATCACGGCCATNTACAACATACAGAGTGTTCTTTTTGAAAGCTATGTATAGTTATAGTAATTTGTTCTTGTGATATCATTTCAAATGTGATGGGATTTTTCTTTTATCTAAGGGGAACAAGGAAATTCTGATGGGATTTTGTTATAGTTTGACGCTAATTTTTTTTCTACATGTTTCCATTGAATCTATTAATAAACATGCAACATCAACGTACCAGTGAAATTCCATTAGTGGAGTCTAGGGAGTGTAGTGTGTACGCAAGCCTTATCCCTACTTTGTGCAGGGAGATAAACTATTTGTGATTGACCTCAGACCTGCCATTGTTAACTCTCACATCTCCTCACTGGTATATATGCACCCTCTTCACGTGCCCGAACTATCTCAGCCTCTCTTCCTACGTCTTGTCCACCACGAAGGTCACTCGCATCGTGTCTCAGATATCTTCATTCCTGAACATTCTCCCCTAGTATGCCTGCATATCCATCTTACCATTCTCATTTCTAATACTTTCATTTTCTGGACATGATAATATTTGATTGGCCAACACTACGCCCAATACAACATAGTTGGTCTAATCATCATTCTGTATAAAGTTTTGGTGGCACATTCTTATCAGAAAAGGCACCGTATACAAGCCTCTATCTTATTCACTCTGCTCCAATCTCCAATACGATGTGCGATATACTCGTTAATCTCTCCATTATCTTGGATTACTGACCCAATGTACTTAAAACTTACTCTCATAGGGATAATTTGTGTATCAAGCCTCACAAAATAGTGGATAATAAACACGATCCGTTAAATATTTGATAGAGACCAAAGTGTTAACTTTTGATAAATTTAAAGGATCGATAACTTTCAAAAGTATACTTAAGGGACTATTTTAAACCTACTCCAAACATGAGGGAATATTTTTGTCGTTTTCTCCTTCCATGAATATAGGACACACGTAAATATTCCAAAAGCCTCTGCAAATTCTGTCTTTCCCTCGGCGTTCACCATAGGCGAGAAGAAGATAAAATATAGAGAGGCTCTCCAAAATCTTTTATTGACCTAATTACCTGTTTTATAGAGATAAATATTACTATTATTTATTATTACTCCGTCCGTTTCAATTTATGTGAACCCATTTGATTGGACACGAAATTTAAGGAAAGAGAGAAACTTTTTAAATTTGTGGCATAAAATGAGTCAAATATATTTTGTGTGACTCATAAAAGTAAATTGTTTCCGAATAAGTCATTATTTTTGGTACGGACCAAATTATTCTGTCGTTTTCTCCCGCTCACAATACAATTTATCAAGTTCTTTCTCTATTCAGATCTCCTTCTTTCCCTTCGTATCGGTGAACCATGTCGTACGCCTATCTCTTCAAATATATTATCATCGGTGATACCGGTAAATTTCATCTCTTGTTTTTATTTTTGTTCGATTTGATTCCTTAACTTTTGTTTTTCGACAAGTTTGAGTGTTTTTTTTTTTTTTTTTTTTTTTTTTTTTTTTTTTTTGCTTTTATGATTTTGCATCTGATTAATAGGTTCTGTGTAATTTGGATATCAGTGATGCTAATTTAATTGTTTAGAACTAGCTGTAATTGTTTACTAATATTTTGCATCTGATTAGTAGTTTCTCTAATTAAAAGGTTTTGTATTATTTTGGTAACCAGTGATGTTAATTTAGTGTTTTTGCACTTCCTGTAATATATTCATGATGTAGTAGTAGACAACCAATCATATATTCATGATATTTGTAGCAGTAGCTACCGTCAAAACTCACAATATCAAACAGTAAATGCAATTGATTGTATTAAAAGGAAGAACAATTACAACTTCTGAAATTGCAGCAATAAAACAGTAACCAACATGGAAAATACTAGGAGAGTAAGGATAGAATCAAAGAAGGGGAGATGAGAGGGAACAAAGTTGTGCAGAAGGGATGAGGATAATCAGAGATTCCACAACTTTTAGCCTGCTATACTGAGTGCGTGAGTGGCCTATTTGTAACAACCACAGTCTATTCTCACGCATAAAGTACGTGCCCGCTATTAACCTGGATTCAAAACGTAGTCACCAAGTCTTTTATTTGGAATTCTCACCCTAGAGCTTCTCCTAATTGTGCTTGTTACCTCGGCATTCACATTTTCGCATCCAAACTCTTCAGTGTTCATAACAATATTTCTCTAATTGATCATTTCAGAAGGAAAGGATTTTTTTTTCTGGCCAAATTTGGTGCTTTATCATCATGATATCAAGGGAAACTAGAGTTTCAGTGCCTGATTTTATCAATATTAATTGCTTTGTTGTCACTGAGATTTTGGGGACACACGATAGTTTAAGAGGGTGTTTGGATTGGCTTTTAAGCTGGTCAAATCAGCTTTTAAGCTCTTTTTAGCTTTTTTCAGTATTTGGCAAAATAAAAAAGTGTTTAAAATAAGTTAAAAACTGCTTAAAACAAGCCAAAAGTAAGAAGTTGGACAAATCCAACTTATTACTTTTTGGCTTAAAAGCTATTTCTACTGAAAAATTACTTTTTTTTAAGCCAGTCCAAACATGCTCTAAGTATGTAACTGTCAAAAAGTTGATAGTTCGGGTCTTCGGGGTGGGGGTTGGGGGNTATGTCATGTGATGTCCATACATATGTTACTTAAAGTCTTGTGTGAGACATCACTTATAAGGATATAATATTTCTCTGTACAGGAGTTGGAAAATCATGTCTTCTTTTGCAATTTACGGACAAACGGTTTCAACCTGTCCATGACCTGACGATTGGGGTTGAATTCGGGGCTCGAATGATCACAATAGACAACAAACCAATTAAACTACAGATCTGGGACACGGTTAGTGACACAAATTTTCTCTCTTCCTCTGTTTTTTTGTTAGTATTAGAAGGTCCGAATAAATGCCTATAGAAGTCCATAATTCAGTTGGTCATCCTTTATTGATCATTTTTAGTTTAATTAAAATGCAGCCAAGTCCTCCTAGTTTTTCGTCTCTGGGTGTGCTTTCCCTAAGTCTGAAAGTATGTTCTAATGAATGTTCTCGTTTCAGGCTGGTCAAGAATCATTCAGATCCATCACAAGGTCATATTACAGAGGTGCTGCTGGGGCATTACTTGTTTATGATATTACAAGGTAGGACAAATCTTTGACACTTTCATAATGCATGTAACTCTATGTTGCCTGGCATATATTTTCTCTCATATTTTAGAGATATGCTTATTTATATGTAATTTTGGTTAGAGATTCCTGTATAAGTAACTTATTTCCCAGGAATCTCATTTAAAGTTGCCGCATCTCAAATATATTGTAGTTTTTTAGCTTAACTGATTGTGGAATATCACATTTTAGTCCTTAACTTGTCACTGGGAAAACATATCTGATGGTGTTCTGATCGTGATATAGCTAATATGTCGTTGACAAAGAGAGCAATATAAAAGATGCTAAAGATAATAATAAAACTGCAAAAGATAGTGGATAAGTACTGAACTTCCAGAGCAGCATCTCTGTTGGTCAGTGAGCTAGTGTTACGATAGTTTTTAAACGTTTTTCGGTTCCTAAAATTTGTAATTGACTTAATATTCTTCTCTGTCCAATTGAAAACTTATGTGGAAGTAATGTTACGCATCTGTGTTTTGAAGTCTACTTCTGTTCAAGAATGCGAATGGTGAGCAAAACATATTGTATATGAATCGGGTAGCCCAATTTGCATGTCTATTTGCGTTGCCCGAATATTTTGTTAGTGACAGGTGTTGTATGTTTTCTCCAAACTAAATAGGAGGGAAACATTTAATCACCTTGCTAGTTGGTTAGAAGATGCAAGGCAGCATGCAAATGCAAACATGACCATAATGCTGATAGGAAACAAGTGTGATCTGGCTCATAGAAGGGCTGTAAGCACAGAAGAAGGTGAGCAGTTTGCCAAGGAACATGGCTTGATATTTATGGAGGCCTCTGCTAAAACAGCTCAGAATGTTGAAGAGGTAAGAATTCTCCTATCTGGTACTTCTCTTGAGGTTTTATCTCCACCGTGGGCATTTTCCCTAATTGTATTTCGATATTGGCTGTTAATCTTGTGCTTCCTTTTCTGCATTATTCAGGCTTTTATCAAAACAGCTTCAACAATCTACAAGAAAATACAGGATGGTGTGTTTGATGTCTCAAATGAGGTATGCCACTGTTGTTATAGAATAGTTCTGCTCAATATTTTCTGCTTTGGTTATTGGAAGCATATGTTCTTACCTGTTTGAGAAGACGTAACTTTTGCTAAGATGTATTTATATGTAAAAGGCACCTTGGTAAGAGAATCTGGAAAAGTAGAGGGAAACTATGTTTGGCATCCCATTAAGTAGACCACATGATATTTACCAAGTATTCTTGGTTTTCATTATTTAAAGAACATAATGGAAAAAATCCAAGGATCGTCTTTCCTGCAAAAGTATGAGAATTTATCCACAACTAATCAGGTGAACTAGCCAACACTGCTCATAAGTCATAAACCAACATCAACCACTGGGGGTCACCATTCTCCAGATACATGTCTCATCTGGTTCAAGTGCTATGCCCGGCTCAATGCTATTTACAGCTTCTGTGATCCCTATTCCCTGAAATATCTGTGAAATATACTACGACATATCCAACTAGTATTAGCTGTTGTAGGACGTACTGATTAAGTTATGTAAGAAAGACATTAACACAAACACTCATAATAGGCTCTTTGATTCGTCCTACTTTTGACTGCTAAAAGTAACATTTATGGGGAGATGTGGATGTTGAAATTCGTACTTGATTGAGAAGTCAGAATCCAGTCCATACAACTTTGGAGTCACATACCATATCAGGAGGGTTAAGAAAGTTAATGTGATCGAAGATGTGAAAGATTACTAGCCAACTGAATAAGACTGCCTGATGGATTTAATCTGTGTTCTTATACTCTAAGGGGTCGTTTGGTTTGAAAACAAGTTATCCCAGGATTAATTATCCCGAGATTAGTTATCCTACCCTCCCATAGGGATAAAAATAACACTACAATCCCAGGATAACTAATCCGCGGATTAGTTATATCGCAATTTCATCCTAACCAAATGTGGGGTAAACTCATCTCAAATTTAATCTCCTTTATCCCTCGTACCAAACGAGCCTTAAGTAGCTGTTAGGATCCAATCAAGGCTTCCAGCAGTTGAGCATATCTTTTTAGTTAGGTCCTTGTTTATCAGTTCGGTACTGATGACAACTAATTATAAAAGAAAGAAGTTTGATATTGATGACAACTGTTGATGATTGAATTCATTGTTTTAAGAATCAGTAAAAGGAGTTTGCCTAAAGCTTGGTAAATGCTTCTGTTCCACAAAGAGTAAATTCTCATCGCATTGTTTTTATATAATTCCCGTCTAATTCTTGAATACTTTTTGTAGTCCAATGGAATAAAATTTGGATATGGAGGCCTTCCCGGTCCATCAGGTGGAAGAGATGGAGCTGCTTCTCAAGGAGGGGGTTGTTGCAGTTGAAAGTTGAAAATTATTCTTCAAACTTGATACATGTGGTCATCGTCTATATGCCATCTTCACCGGTCCCTTTATCTTATCTTTCAGAGGTTTCGTCGATTTGTTATAGTGATGTTATCTGTGCAAAAAATAAGCAAATTCAGTAAATATGGGACAGTCCATCTTTCCAAACCCCCCCNTGTGTCATTTTTTTGGCTTGTTCAATATCTTAAAACAAGGTATAGGTAATGCTAGTTTTTGCCAGAGTAATTCGGCACAACTAGCCTTAACTACATCTTATATTCGTCGTTTTTGAGAATGCAGAAAAAGGGAATTACTTTAGAAGTGTATTGGTGTACTATGTAATGAAAATAAACGAAGAAAAACCATTGGCGTATCAGGCCTTTTCATCTACTGTCCAAATTCACCTAAATTAGCTTCTACAATTGTGAAAATTACGGGCTAGCCAGTTTTCGGATTGGTAATTGAAAAATAGCCGCTATTTTGCTGCAACACGGAAAGTTCCAGCATAATATACTGGAGATTGGTGCACCAGTGTATGAACTTCCAGCATATTATGCTGGAACTTTTCGTGGAGTTCTAGCATAATATACTGGAGATTGGTGCACCAGTGTATGAACTTCCAGCATATTATGCTGGAACTTTTCGTGGAGTTCTAGCATAATATACTGGAGATTGGAGCACCTGTGTATGAACTTCTAGTATATTATGTTGGAACTCCAGTACACGGAAAGTTCCAGCATAATATATTGGAGATTGGAACATCCGTGAATGAACTTCCAGCATATTATGTTGGAACTCCAGTATATTATGCTGGAAGTTCACATGTAAAAAATCCGAACTCCAGTATATTATGCTGGAATATTTTCCGGACTTTGAACAGTGTTTTCGTTCATATTTATCTTTACATAAAAAATGGCTAAATTTCGATTACTTTTGAAACTATAGCTATTTTTCAATTACCACTTGTAAATCTGGCTATTTTAAATTTTGCCCTCTACAATTTCATTTCATTATATAATTTTGATTAAATGGCCAAGAATCAAGACATCAACCTTGCTATTGGCCCCATGAGCTCCCACATGATTGACATTCACTGTCGCCTGTGATAGATGCCATGGACTTGATTTTGAATTATATTGCATGCTGGCACTTTCTTCCAATATTACGTTTATATACTGTAAATAGTGCCTTTTAGTAGAAATATTCATATAGCACATTCTAAGTTAGCGTTTGGACATAAATTTGATTGAAAATTGAAAAATGAATTTTTGAAATTGCGTGGAAAAATAACTTTTAAAAGTTCAAGTTGTGTTTGGACATGCATTTTATTTAAAAATATTTTCATTTGAATTCTTGCTGTGAGTGAACCCTATCGACTAAACTCTTTGCGTAAATAAACTGAAAAATATTCATCTTGTTTATGTGTGTTTATGGTTGGTGACTGATACAAAGTTATATGGATCTCGTCGCCAGGAAATTCCAACTCTGGATTAGTGAATGTTTATCAACACTAGCAACAACAATAACTACGCTTTAGTGTCAATCTGGTTAGATCGACTATATGAATCTTCACTAATCATGTTGTTGTTTAGCAATAATAGCATATCAAAGTTGTTAATGAGAAGTCCTAGCTTTTTGCTCTTTGCTGAAAAGTTGTGTGTTTAGTACTGTATATTCTGTTTTTAGTCTATTAATGCTTTTTTATTCGAAATTTCATTCTTCTCATAGCACAGAATTCTTGTTTGATAGAGAAGATTGCAATTGATATATAATTTCAACAGGACTCATTGCTAATACAACAACAACAAGCGCAGCCCGGTGCATTAAGCTCCTGCCAGGGGCGGATTTACATGGACCCAAGCGGTGTCACTGGACACCGTTTCGTCGAAAACTTTTACTACATATACATACATATATATNGTCTTGGGTTCGAACTCCCCTCCACAAAATATTTTTGACTGTTACGGGCCTATTGATAGAAATAGCGACACCGCTTATAAAAAATCATGCATACACCACTGGCGTCCGCTATGGGCGGGTTCCGGAGAAGGGCCGAACCACAAGGGTCTATTGTACACGGTCTTACCCTGCATTTCTGCAAGAGACTGTTTCCACGGCTAGAACCGGTAACCTCCTGGTCATATGGCAGTAACAACAAACCCAGTGAAATCTCACAAGTGGAATCTGGGAAAGGTAGCATGTACGCAGACGTTACCCCTGCCATGAGGAGGTAGAGAGACTATTTCCGAAAGAACCTCGGCTCGAGAGGATAAATATAAACAGTCAAATACCAACAACAATAGCCAGAAAAATGATAACAACAATGTAAGAACTAGAAAAAATAGACTCATTGCTAATACACTAAAAATATATCAGGCTTTTTAGACCAAATGACATACAAAATAGTATATGCACATAGTGTTACACATAAGAGGAGGAAAAGGTGGGAAGAAATGACTACAAATTTACTTAGTGGAATTTGAAGTTGGTCAAGATGTTGTTGTTTACAGGATCAGCCAAATGATCAAGAAGGTTTTGGTAAGGTCCAACACCAGTAACCAAACCTTGTATAAAATAGCCCAAAATTGCCAACATAGCCAATCTTCCATTCTTAACCTCCTTAAGCTTCAAATCCTTCATAGATTTTTCATCTTTTCCAAATCCAAGAGGGTTAAAGAATGGGCCACCCGGGTAAGCCGGTTCACCGGAGCCACCTAAGCCTTTTTCCAGGCCCAAGAAGTATTGTTTTCCCATTGAACCAGGCTTGGCCCAATCTTGAAATCTTCTGTGTTCAGCAAAGCCCATTAGTGCCATTTCCAAAACAAACAAAGTGTAATTGTCAGCCCAATAGTTGTATGTTCCAGCTGGTGGGATTACACCAGTTTGGAACCAAGGAAGTGCTGTTTCTGGTGGGATAAGACCAGCTTTTCCAAGAATCTCTGGTGCTATGGCTCCTGCTGCTCCTAACATGGCGAATCGCCCGTTGATGATTTCGCCGTATGCTAGCCATTTTGGCTCGATGAATCCTCCGGTTCCTTCGGGGTCTGAGAGTCCCAAGGGATCAAATCCATAATCACCAGGAAGACTGAATCAACATACAAGTGAGTATATTATCTTGAATAATTGGTCTTAAGATAGCATATGTTAATGAGTTTAACTTATATACACTAACAATGTAAGGAAATGGTTACACTATTAGGTCGTTCATAGGATATCTATAGGTAAAGTACAGCCTGGTGCACCAAGCTCCCGCCATATGTGGAGTCTGGGAAAGGTCCCGGACCACAAGGGTCTATTGTACACAGTCTTACCCTACATCTGTTTCTACGGCTCGAACTGTAGCGATTTATAAAAGGTGGGGATTTATAATCTTGAAAATAAGGCAGTTTATCTGCTATAACACGTAAAGATAATCTAATACTGTAAAAATTCTTTACGCTAGCGGTACATATACCCTTAAGTCTCATAGATCTTACCTGCCATCCAAGTATGAAAGACTTTGCTTGGAAGCAAACCAGAGAGGCCTATTTGCTCCTTGCTGTAAAATAGAATTGAGTGAATCAATACTTGTGTATAGTAATAAGGTTTTTATCGATTATTGAAACATACTTATATCCACCAACAATACAATTCAATGCAATTTTAAGAATGCAAATTCATTTAACTATGTCAGTGATAAAAATTGATGTTATATTTTCTCTGAGTGAGTTGGAGGGACTTTCGCTGAACAAGCGTAACCTTCATAACCAAAGCGTCACAACAACAGCCAAAAATAACCCTTAAATTTTTAAGTAGGAACATTGACCATGACATAATCCTCTTTTTGCTACTGAATACATTCCAGACTTTCATCAATCGTAACTCAGTTTCCTAGTGGCGAAGGTAAAATGAGCAATTAAATGTTAAAAGATTGATGTTATATTTTCTAAATCAAAGTAATTGTTAACTATAACTTCAATGCTTCAACTACTACCAATACAAAAGTCAATTTAACATTTGAAGATCCGTTTCTAGTTAAACATCGTTATATAAAATGAAGGAGATACGCAGAGGCGGACCTATGTTTGTTACAGCAGGGTCACTGGATCTCGTTAACTTCGGCCAAAGTTCTAGATATATATGTGTATATATGTTGAAAACAATAATATATTTTACTTGGAACCTTTAAGATAAAAAACCAATAGGCCCCCTGGCTAAGCAGTGACTGACTTCACAGTTCAAAACTATAACTTATAGGTCACGCGAAAACAACTTTATCATTGCTTCATGATTTTCCTTCTTTCCGTTTCTACCTAAACATCGTAATATGAAATGAAGGAGATAAGACTACCATACACAATAATTTTTTTTACTTGAACCCTTAAGATAAAAAATGGGGGGCATTGGTTGAGCAGTTCGTTCATGTGCCCCCACCAACTTCAAATCTTGGGTTCGGCTCTGGAGAGAAGAGCACTATTAACAAAGGAGAAGAAGAAGTTACCTTAACAGGTGGAGTGGAAGCAGCCCTAACAACAAAGGAAGCTTTCTTGGTAGAAGATTGAGAAGATCTTCCTCCAAGAATTTGTCTGGCATTCTCCACTGAGGAAGTAATAGATGATGAAGAGAGCAATGCTTGTGTTGCCATTTTTCCTTTTGGATTGTATTGATGTTAGATTTGCAGTTGAAGAATGCTTTGGAGAAGAAGAAAAGAAAGAATGAACAAAAGGTGGCAAATAAGTAAGTGACAAACTAAATGCCACCAAATATTTTGTGGGGCTAAGGAAAAAGTATGAAATTGTGGTCTATATATGAAAAAGATAAAGTTTAGATCTTGTTGTCAAATGAAAAAGGAACATGTGGATTCATTACTCAGATAAGAGATATTCTGCACTCCTAGTCACATAAATGAAATCTCAGATATTCTTGTTGCCACATGTCTTTTCCTAGATTCTCCATATGATCAAATCATATTTAATTTACTATTTTTAAGCTTTAAATTAAGGTGAAAATGTATGTTGGTAGATTAGTACTATGATTTAATGATAAGAATAGTGGGTGAAATTCAAAAAATAGTCAAATTTATAAGTGGTAATTGAAAAATAGCGACAGTTTTAAAAGTAATCGAAATTTAGCTACTTTTCATTTAAAGATAAATCTGAACGAAA